AGGTATTCTACCAGGACACCGATGAACGAATCGTCGTCGCCGTCGCACGTCGTCGTCGTTCGCGAACGTCGATTGCCAGCAGCGACGCACGTTGATTTGAGACTTTTTTGGGGCTTTCCATCGCAACACTTTCGTCTGAGGCTCTTTGTGCAGTTTAAGGGGAATGTCGCGCGACCCGAGGCAATTCGCTCCGAAGGCGGTTTCGAATTTCACCTTCTCCTCTTCTATGATGTGCCCGATTCGTCCCCGACCCTATCCGAAATCCGTTTCCTTCAGGAGAATCGAGAACGCCGCTCAAAGGCGATCCGACCTCCATCGATTGCCGGGAAAAGTTGATCCGGGCTTTTCTTCCTTTGAGAGCGCGCAACACCCTACCGCAGTCGTCAACTGTACTGGGTAAACCAGAATATTACTTCTGGCTGCGATATTTGCGACTCTGAGAGTGATACTGATTGCTTACTATACATATGTGTTATATTGAAGTAAAGATAAATCTGTTGTGTAATTTCTACCATGATGTGCGTAATTCTATAGAAGAAAAAAATTCCCAAAAATTAATTGCAACTTTTATATTGATATATTTATAGAAAATAATTATCTAATGATTACAACTAATTGCGTAAATTTGCAATAATAGTATTGCGTTGCATATTCAAACAATAAAAACGATAAAATTATAATGAAACAGTAGCATCTTGAAACTCGACTGCAAATAATGCCGAAAGCGGTATTTGTATTTTCGTAACGAGAAAACGAGGGAATATTAACTAGTTAATCAAGCTAACTATCGAAGACAAAAGAGGAAATCCTATGAAATTATAGCGATTTTAATGAGCAGTTTAATTAATAAAACTAGCAATTATCTGTTATTTAAGTAAGATTTATCGATATTAAAAAAAAGTGTGTTTTATACTTTGATTACAGTGCGAAAAGTATAGAGCTTTAAAATAAGAATTTATTTTAAATTATGAGCAAACTAAAAGCAATGAAAACTAATAAATAAGATAACATAATCATTCTTTAATAAAAAATTGTAATGTATTATATATTTATATATGTAACTATAAAACTTCATACTTTTATATACATATAATTATATATATAATTTTATTATTCCATTTTATTTTATTTTTTACATAATACATTTTCATAATAAAAATTTCCAAAATATTGCCAAAAATTTAATTACAATATTTGCTTAATTACAATATTAATTTATTATTTTTAAATATTAGTTTTAATATTTTGTAATTTAATTTTTCCGAAATTTTTTGTAATATAATTTTTTGCATAATTTTTTTAATTTTTAAAATATTCCTCAGATGTGTAATTTCTTTCTGTATTGTATTAATTTTTTCTACAGAAACTGAAAATTACAAGACTTGCAACTTTATATAGTCGCGTTTTTTTATTTAATTGTAAGTACAGTGTTTACGACACGAACACTCACGGGTTAAAACGTTCGGTTTTATGTCTAATGTGAAAATCCTAAGCGGCGAAATAACTCTTTTAATCGTTGACGACACCACCCCTTGCAAGATATCCAGAATTCTGCACTCTCGACAGTCTGCTACGACTACATCCGGGCACAAAGACGAAGAGACGCGGGAGCCTCATTTAAATAACAGATAATTGCTGGTACTGTTAATTGAAGCGCCGTGGGGATCGTTGGGGTAGAAGAGTTACCCAAGATTTCGCGCTCTGCCCTTCCACTCCCATCGTTGTTCTCCTCGTCGTCATCCTTGTCGTCGTCTTCGTCGTCGTCGCCGTTGTATCTTCCGTTGCGCGCTCGAATTAGTTAATGCGGGACTCGTTTTACGACGACGAGTGTATCGCTTTTGTCGTCAGCTGCAACGCGTCTCGGCACTCATTACGCCGCCTCGACTTTGCCTCAAAGCACCGTCGTTGCCAACCGTGCCACGATTGAGAAGCCTGGGTATAATAACAACCCAAGTCGACTTACGCCGTTATTGAACGAGCCAGCTTTTTGAGATCTTTGAACCTTTGGCCAGCTGTTGCGCAAAATTTCACCTTCTTTTGACAGAAGAATAAAGAATTCTTTTTTATTATATTATATATTTATTATATATATATATATATACAGGGTGTTTGACAGAGTGTATATATATATATATAGTGTATATAACAGTGTCCCAGCAACGGTATAACCGGGAGGGAGGTGATTCCTTATAAAAAAAGTAAGTCGAAAGTGCAGAATAAAATTTTTGCATATGAGGCTTTGTTTTCGAAAAAACAGCTTTGAAAATCCGTCAGGTACGCGTCTACTAATTATAAGTCTCGACTTGACGGGCTTTGTTGCTGTTCGTGTTTGTATTTATAAACATAGGCAATATTATAATTTGCTTCCGTCTGTATATGTATATATAATAAATGTATGTATGTATGTACACGGTGTGACAATTAAGTTCCCGGACTGAGGCTATAGAAAACTACACAAAAAAATTGAAAATATTTATCAATACTATCATTTCAGGCGCCGCGGAAGTATTTTTCATCTGAGGGGGCAAAATTTATAAAGGGGATACATAATACATTTATAATATGTATATGTATATGCAGTAGCGCACTCAAGTTATTTTTTCGGGGAGGGTTTAAAATTCACACACACACGCGCGCGCGCACACACACAAAATGAAACAATATGACCAAAAGTCAGGACAGAGGTCAGGTAGTATCGCTAATATATGTAGCAGTATCTTGATGTTCGGTAACATGTCATCGTCACAATGTTTTAAAGAGCTTAAAGTATCTTTTGGCCATTCTTGCTTAATCCTTTCACAATATGAATATCTTAAAATAAAAATTATATACGTTCGAACAGCAGTATAGCTGGAGAGGCTATCAATTATTTGTGTGCAAAAATATTGGTGTAAATTTTAAATGATTAAAATTGTGACTCTAATTAAAAACAGACAAAAAATACAAATGTTTGAACGAATTTTATGTAACTACAGATTTTTTACTTTTTGCTGTTGAGTTAATAAAAAAATAAAGCATATTAAAATTTCGGGAGGGGTTTTGACCCCCAAAACCCCCCCCCCTTGGGTGCGCCACTGTGTATATGTATGTAACTTCATTCAAACACCATATAATAGGCTACTCAGTGGGAAGTTTGAATGTGCGAAAAATATGCACAAATTTTTTGTTCTAATTAACTTAATGCGCTTAATTTTTTTTGTTATATAATATACTTTAATTGAACGAGTAAGTAAAATAAGTAAAAAAAAAAAAGAAAAGAAAAATAACCCATTTTTCTATTTTTGATGTAAATATTTGATGCTCAATATATTCTCGGTCATGGAATGCCTGAAGAAAACAGAAAAATTTTTCGGGGGCTACGCCCCCCTGAATTGTCTCAGGGCGGTCGCCCCCTCTGCCCTCACAGTTCCGTGGCATCGACACACAATTATTATTGTATACACATTAATGTATGTTGATTGCAGATGTATAAGAGTGCGTATTTATATCTATACTTTTTTGTATTTTGTTCAAATATATTATGCAATATTTTCATATTTTTTAACATATAATTTGATTTTTCAATAATTTATAAACATTTTGTTAAAAATATATTGCTTAGAATATTAATATATAATATATTATAATAATATATATTAATATATTATTAATTCATTGATAAATATCTTACCAATACGTTATTTTGATTTCCCTTATTTCGCTATATAAAATTTCTGATATAAAGCAAAAATATAAGTAGAAAAGAAAAATATGCATGGTTATTTCAAGGAAAACTTTTGAAATTTTTTATTCTCTAGGGGGATACTAAATATTTTTATAGAATAATTAAATAAAGAATCATATTTTATACGTATATGTTGATGCATATGTATTTAAAGTATAACAATTATTTTCACATGCCACGTGTTAACATAACTATTACATAATTATAATATTAATTATACTAAATTATTATAAACTAAAGATTTGTTACTTCCATATCAAAAATTATGTACCGCAAACTGAATATGATGCAGGCATTGATAGCATTAAGTGAATAATCCAAAAAATTTCACATAAGCACAATATTAATATAATAAAATAATTTTATGGATACTTTTAATACTTTAGAGAATTAATACATTATTTATACATTTCCTTACATTGCTCTTAATGTATTTAAGTTATAATTTTATAAAGTGTCATGATCGCAGCTTATATTTTCAATGAAAAATAATTATAAAGTTTAAAACACAATGAATTTATAAGTCGTTCAAACTGTTTTAATTTCTTCAATTATATTTTAGACTGATAATTATTTTAAAAATGTATCGTTATAATATTTTGCAAATATTTGTTGGTTGTAAACATTTAAGAAGTCTTGATTATCAAATTTAATTGACAGGCGATAGTTTCAGATTAAACAAACAAATAAAAAAATTCCAAATAAAATAATCAAATGATAAAATAAGCGTTTGTATTGAATATTTTTTAGTTGTATAAAGAAATCATCTCACATCTGTTACAGCATGTATTTCGTTAATAATAAATTTATATTTTTTTGTCTTTTACTAAAAGCATTATGAATTGTATAGGTCAAATATAATTAGAAAATTTAAATTTACATACTCGTATTCTACCAATAATTATTATTACATTAGTATCATAGTTCGGAAACCTCTAATATAAGATAATAATAATTAAGGAGTCATATGAAGTCAAAATTACCTAAATTACGATAAATGTTCAGGCTACACGTATGATCAAGCTAAACGTAGAAATATAAGAAATAAAGATTTAAATAAAATATTGTGACTGTGTTGAATAACTTATTGTCGATAAGATAAATTTTGTCTATACCAAAAATTCGATTGTAAGTTCACAAAACTGTTTTCCTTTATAAAATTATAAGTACGATTTATAAACTTCAAATAGATTGCACATAAGCAAAATATACCAAATACATTTAAATACGTATTTAATAAATTTTAAAAATGTAACATTGTATCTCCTGTAAAACGTAAATTTATAAACATATTTATAATTTTATAAACAACATCTTATGAACAAAGACAACGAATATTACACGTCAGAGATATATTATTATATTTTCATATTATAGATTGTTTCAATCACCAAGTTAACATTGTCGTTTGTGCTGGTTGTCGTGCTAGCTGTCATGATCGCCGTTAGCATTATCCACCTTTAATAAGATAAACATATATAAACATTTATAAATATTTGTTTCAGAAACCAATTGTCTGTCAAATATATAGTTCTGTTCTGCTAAAATACGACTCGAGCAATGTCTCGAGCAAGATTAATTATATGTATGTATAATTGTATTAACAATAATTTCAATTAAACTTACTGTCACTCTTTTTCATCTATGGTTGGCTTGCTGATGATCCAGCTATGTCATACGCTCTTTTCGTACTTGTCGGCTCGTTCAGATGTGTATTTTCAATATGCTGGTTTAAATCCGTTAATTGAACATCAAGTTCCTTTTCGATGGAACAAAGGTTACATCGCACATGAAAATCTTTAATCTTTGTACAGTATTTCCACACCCAACTACTGCCGTTATGATTAAAAGGGAATGTGGCAAAATGCGTGTTTTCTAAATGATATTTTAATAAGTCCTCAAGAGTCGTTACAGTATTGATATCTTGACAGAGAAGACATTGTGAATAATCTTCGTCATAATATTTAAAATACATCCACGGGTATCCTTCTCCGTTAATATCTTCGTATGAAGAAATTTCTTTATGATCTTTTATTACATGTTCTGTAAAGTTTGTTGTGTTGATATAACATCCTCGAAAAATGCATAGTCTAAATTTGCAATTTGCTTGAAAACACTCAGGTATCAATCTGTAATTGTCTAATAGTGTTTTCTTTTCTGCATTTTTGACCTCAATTGGTACACACATTGCGCCCGTTTGCTTGTTTTTCCATTTCTTCTTATGCTTGCTTGCTAAATGATTTTTTAATCCTGTTTTTTCAATAGCAAATATTATAGTTTTATTACAATTCATCAGCATACACCTTACGCCAAAAGTATTAATTTGTGTGCAATATTTTTGTTTATTTATTTTTTGGTCACATTTTGTCACTTCTTCTACAGAATGTGAGTTTTGTATGTGATCGGGAAACATTTCACGAGAAACAATGTTCTTACAAACTAAACATACTGACTTTAATTTGTTGTAATATATCTCCGGCGTTTTTCTTCGCTTTCCGTTAACAATGGATTTAAAGTCGTCTTCATGCTCATTATCTATATGTTTATAAAAATTTTTTAAACTGACGTAGGAAAAAGTCAATTTGCAAAATATGCACTTTGCTTGCAAATTCCGCGATTCTTTATAATAATCCCACACGTTTTTCTTAGTTATATTCATTTTTGGTATTGTGTCTGCTTCAACTGACTAGACGCAGATAACTGAATACGATATACACAGGAGCCTTTCTACCGAAGTGGTCGGTAAAAGCAAAACAAAGGTAGGAGCATGGTATAGTTTATCATTTGAATGTAAATAATGATACGTCAGTTAAGCCTTTCAAATAGATATCAAGAGACGCGGTGGCATCTCACGTCTATTTTACTTAGCAATTGCACGATCCTGCACTAAACATATTACAACTTATTTTTTAAACAAATAATATTTTAAGAAAAATTATTATTTAATTATATGTATTCTAAATAATTACTGTATCAAATACAACATAATTTGCCAATTGTTTTGATATTGCAATAAATGCAATTGATATACTGAGAGAAAAGTATGATTGCAGTACCCATAATTTATAACGTTTTTTGCCACCAATTATCTTTATATATGTTGTAACTATAAAATTGTTTTTTTATCAATACAGTACGTATAAGGTTATAAAATTGCTAACATTATACCAACAATTTCTATAAATATGAGTATTGTGATTATAATTATATTAATGTGCAATTATAATCCAAATATTACACAACTTTTTTTTAGTGTACTCGTACGTTGATTGCAGATATATAAAAGTGCGTATTTATATCTACTATACCTTTTTGTATTTCGTCCAAATATATTATGCAATATTTTTATATTTTTTAACAAATAATTTGATTTTTAAATAATTTATAAATTTATTTTGTTAAAAATATATTACTTAGAATATTATTAATTCATTGATACATATCTTATTAATATGTTAATGTAATTTCCCTCATTTCGCTACTTACAATTTTTGATATAAAGCGAAAATATTAAGTATATATAAGTATAATACAAGTAGAGAAGAAACTTATGCATAGTTATTTCAAGGAAAACTTTTTAATTTTTTCCCTAGGGTCATACTAAATATTTGTATAAAATAATCAAATAAAAAATCATTTTTTATACGTATATTGTGATGCATATGTATTTTAAGTATAACAATTATTATCACATGCCACGTATTAACTTCCACACTCAGTTTTTTAATTATACTTATAATAATACTATTAATTTTGCCAAATTATTATAAATTAAAAAATGTGTTATTTCCATATTTAAAATTATGCACCCCAAGCTAAACGCTGAACATCATGCAAGCATTGACGGCGTTAAGTGAGTAATGCAAAAAATTTTACAGAAGCGTAGTTTTACAATAGCAAGATGGCTCAATTTTAAAGATATTTGTCATACTTCAGAAATTAATACATAATTTATAGATGTGCTTACATTCTTCTCAATGTATTTAAGTTTTAGTTTTATGAAGTGTTATAATTGCAGTTTATATTTTTAATCAAAAATAATTATAAAGTTTAAAACACAATAAATTTATAAGCTGTTCAAACAGTTTTAATTTCTTCAATTATATTTTGGATTATAATAATTAAAAAAATGTGTCGTTATAATATTTTGCATATTTTTGTTGGTTGTAAACGTTTTAGAAATCTTAATTATCGAATTTAATTGACAGGCGTTAGTTTCTGATTAAACAAACGAATAAAAAAGTTACTAAATAAAATAATCAACTGGTAAAATAAGCGTTTGTATTGAATATTTTTCAGTTGTAAAAAAATCATCTTACATCTGTTGCATCATGTATTTCGTTAATAATAAATTTTTTTTTGTTTTTTACTGAAAGCGTTATGAATTCTATATATTCTCCAAATAAAATTAAAAAATTTAAATTGACAAACTCGTATTCCACCAATAATTATTATTATATTAGTATTATAGTTCGGAAACCTCTAATATAATATAATAATAATTAAGGAGTTATAATAAATCTAAATTGCCTAAAGTACAATAAATGTTCGGGCTACACGTATGACCAAGCTAAACGTAGAAATATAAGAAATAAAGATTAAAATAAAATATTGTGACTGTGTTGAATAACTTATTGTCGATGAGACAAATTTTGTCTATACCGAAAAGTTGATTGTAAGTTCACAAAATTGTTTTACTTTATAAAATTATAAGTACGGTTATAAATTTCAAGTAAATTACACATAAGCAAAATATATCAAACACTTTAAACATATTAAATGTACTTAATAAATTTCGAAAATGTAACATTGCATCTCTCATAAAACGTAAATTTATAAACATATTATTAATTTTATGAACATAAAACGAATAATTTTACGTCAAAGATATATATATTTTTTTTTATATTATAGATTGTTTCAATCCCCAAGTTAAGATTGCCTTTTGTCCTGGTTGTCGTGCTAGCTGTCATGATCACCGTTAGCATTATTCACCTTTGGATAAACATATATAAACATTTGTTTGAGGAACCAATTGTCTGTCAAATATATATCCGAGTCGAAATTTTTAGCCTAGATTAAACCTACAAGTTTTGTCGAATTTGGATAACCAATGTAAGCTTTAATTCATATATATAGATAACATTACATTGGCTATTGCCCTTCTTTGATACTAAAAATTGTTACTTATTGCCGTTTTTTTCATGTGGAAGCTCAAAAGAGTACCTACTGAGAACCTCTAAAAAGGCTCTATAAATATGTATTTTTAGAAAATAAATATTTAAAATTACTTAATAATCT